CAGGTCACCCCAGTGTCCCCAAAAGTGTCCCCAAGGTGTTCCCAGTGACACCAGAGTGTCCCCAGTGTCACCAGTGTCACCCCAGTGTCACCAGTGCCACCTCAGAGTGTCCCCAGTGTCCCCAAATGTGTCCCCAGGTCACCCCAGTGTCCCCAAAAGTGTCCCCAAGGTGTTCCCAGTGACACCAGAGTGTCCCCAAATGTGTCCAGTGCCACCCCAGTGTCACCAGTGTCACCCCAGTGCCACCCCAGTGCCACTGGTGCCACCTCAGAGTGTCCCCAATGTCCCCAAAAGTGTCCCCAAGGTGTTCCCAGTGACACCAGTATCACCCCAATGTCACCCCAGTGTCCCCAAACCATTCCCAGTGTCACCAGTGCCACCCCAGTGTCACCTCAGGGTCACCCCAGTGTCCTCAAATGTGGCCCCAAGGTGTTCCCAGGGTCTTCAGAGTGACCCAAATGTCCCTAAATGTGTCCCCAGTGCCACCCCAGTGTCACCATTGTCACCCCAGTGTCACCAAAACCATTCCCAGTGTCACCAGTGTCACCCCAGAGTGACCTCGGTGTCCCCAAAAGTGTCCTCAGTGTCCCCAAAGTGCTCCCAGTGACACCAGAATGTCCCCAGTGTCCCCAAATGTGTCCTCAGAGTGACCCCAATGTCCCCAAATGTGTCCCCAGTGCCACCCCAGTGTCACCAAATGTCCCTAAATGCGTCCCCAAACCATTCCCAGTGTCACCAGTGCCACCTCAGCGTCACCTCAGTGTCCCCAAAAGTGTCCCCAAACTGTCCCCAGTGCCACCCCAGAGTGTCCCCAGTGTCCCCAAATGTGTCCCCAAGGCATTCCCAGTGACACCAGATTGTCCCCATTGTGTCCAGTGCCACCCCAGTGTCACCAGTGTCACCCCAGTGCCACCTCGGTGTCACCAAATGTGTCCCCAAGGCGTTCCCAGTGACACCAGAATGTCCCCAATGTCCCCAAATGTGTCCCCAGTACATTCCTAGTGACACCAGAGTGACCTCAGCGTCCCCAAACCATTCCCGGTGTCCCCAGTCCATCCCAGTTAATTCCCACTTGTTCCCAATCCCCTTTCCACACCAAAACCCCCATTTTTCACCCTAAAATCCCCATTTTTTCTTTCCCAGTTTATCCCAGTTCCTCCCAGTCCCCTCCACTCCTTTTTCCACCCCAAAATCCCCAATTTTTCACCCCAAAACTCTCATTTTTCACCCTAAAATCCCCAATTTTTTTTTCCCAGTTCCCTCCCAGTCCATCCCAGTTTCCTCCCAGTCCATCCTAGTTTATCCCAATCCATCCCACTTTATCCCAGTCCATCCCAGTTCCCTTTTACACCCAAAAATCCCAAATTTTTCACCCCAAAACTCCCATTTTTCACCCCAAAATCCCCAAATTTTCTTCCTAAAATCTCCATTTTTTTCCCAGTCCCTCCCAGTTTATCCCAGTCCATCCCAGTCCCTCCCAGTTGATCCCAGTCCATCCCAGTTTACCGCAGTCCCTCCCAGTCCATTCCCAGTCCATCCCAGTTCCCTCCCAG